TTGTTTCACTTACTTTTTTTTAATATATATTTTCTGCTCCTGTATATAAGTGATGCAAAGGAAGTGTCGTAACGGAACAGAAGAAAATAGTAAATTTTTGCGGAAGCGAAAACGGAAGCGGATGCGAAGCGAAAGTGTAATAATTTTAGGTGACCTCCCTCTCTTTAGCTACAAATTATGAATTTAATTGGACGTAGATAGATAAGGGCAAAGGGGATCATTGCACCCCCCCTTAGCAACCTCATTGCCCCCCCCGGATGAGTCACGATATCGGCAAAAAGTTTAAAAACATAGAAACCAAACATATTAAACCTAAGTATATTTAACCTTATAGCTGTTGAAAATCTGCCTCCCCCCTGGAAAAAATTCTCGCTACGCTCATGATTAGGTACTATTCACATGCAACATCAGAACAGGTGCAGGTACTTCAGTCCAGCAAAATTTAAAAAAAATAAGAAAAAACACGATAGTCGGGTAGGAGTTGGCATTTGAAGTACGAACGCGACAAGACAGGTTATTGGAAAAGACATTCGTTTGTTTGTCCGTGGGCTTCTGCTCCTTCAATATTAACGATTGCGGTAATTAAAGTCTCAGTCGGTTTCATGTACACAATTATAACACTGGAAACGGGGAACAAACACTTATTAGTTTCCAACCGGCCAGTCGGCGGGCTTTCAACTAGTTTGGACAAACTCGGAGATCTTGGGCCTAAGCTAACACAAATGACTACATAAGAGGGACTCGACAAGTTCGAGTAGACCTTGGAATGCATTACGAAGACCACCTGTGACGGCCCGAGGTGTGAACGAGCTCTTTAACTTATCATCATCATCACCATCACGACCGTCGTACGTATAGGTACAAATGTTATTGGTGGATACAATAAAACGGAAACGGGGTGTATTTTTACAAGAAGGGGACCAAAAACGTTTGCAACATTAGGAGAAATGGGTGAAATTTTGATGATTGGCTACCAATTTAACACAATGCTGCGGTTCCCGAATATGTGCCTTCTTGAAAAGTATATGTAGGTATATATACATATAAATAAACAACTTCTAGAAAAGTGAATACAAACCTAGTTTCTTTCAGGATACAGTTTGGGAATGGAAATAACAAACCACATTTAACTTGCTACCCAAAAGAGGAAAGGAGGGCGTAGCAATGGTTGCCACCCGTACTTTATTATAAAGTATTGTACTCTATTTCAACTGTGCGTTCGTTATACTGTACACTACACATAAAGTACGCAAAATACTTTATTTAAGGCCTTAAGTAAACATCGTAATTTTGTAAGCTAAACTAAAACATCCCACATCCTTAACTATTTGAGAACAGTAACCTAATCTAGGTCTACCTCTACTCCTATTAACTCCTTTTTCTATCTCTAATATGTCTCTGACTAGACTTTCATGCCTGAGAAGGTGTTATACCATCCTATCTCGCCTATTTCTTAGTGACTTCCATAGAGTTCTCTATCCATGGTAACCTCATCATTCGCCGGTAACACCACATTTTGAACGTTTCAAACATTTTCTTTTCCACCACGCCCACCGTCCATGTTTCGCACATAAACAAATACCTTTAACAATCTTCTTCGAATTTCTAAATTAACCGTCCGCGAGCATAAAAGTGACTTCTTTTTATTGAAGGCGACTCGACCCTACGGTATCCTCTGCTTTATATCCCTACTACTACTCCTTCCGTTCTAACTTATTTGACTTACTAGATACCAAAAATCAGCCACTTCTTCTAATTTTTCGTCTCCTATCTTTATATTCGTTCTTCCTTCCTCTTCCCTAGTTTTACTCATTTTATTTAAAAGTATCTGTAACTCCTCTTTGTTAGATGTTAATACTGCTATATCATCTGCAAATCAAATAAGCATACTAATCTTTTGCCCCCGTATATCTATCCCTACAGTTGTACTATCGTTAATGATGTCTAGTCTGACTCCCTCCCTAATATTTACTTCTCTACGTTGCTGTTCCAGTTCTATAACTGTCTGTTATATGAAACTAAATGTACAAATAAGCTGTGACTCCCTCTTGGCTCATAACTAGGGTGGCCACCTTTTCAGGCTTTACATAAAGTATTTCATTTTTTGTTTTTAAACATATTTTTTGTTACACCTAGCAGCAAGTAACAAATTGATGTCGCTCTTAAATACATTAATAGTCTCTAAACATGGCAAACAAAGATTTAAGTAAGATTTAATTAGTTTTAATGAAGCTTTATTCCTGTCGTGCAGCCACTTTGCCTTCATAACAGAGAATACTCTTTCTGTAAATGCTGAAGTGGCTGGAACGGATAGCAAAAGTGACACTACTTTGAACAGATTTGGGAAATCAGGTTGATCCGTAAATATGGCTTGCCATTTTTCTGTGCAATATTATTGATGTAAAAATACTCTGAATTTCGAATAATCGCTTACAAGATTACGATGTTTACTTAAGGCCTTAAATAAACTATTTTTGCGTACTTTATGTGTCTTGTAAAGTATAACGTACGCACAGTCGAAATAGAGTACAATACTTTCTAATAAAGTACGGGTGGCAACCCTACTCATAACTCACGCAATGCTGATGGTTACGTCCCTGGACTCCATGAGTACTCCCTGGTTTAATAAAATAAGACACGGCCTTGTCTTCATGACATAAATCCACAAATTATGTGCTTAGAGAGCAGGAAAATTACATTTTTATGTTCAAGTAGCAGTACACGTACCGCCTTTTGGCATACTTCACTTGTAAAGTATGTGGAATTATTTGATCACTGGTAAAACAATTTTTAACCACTAAAAATACATGTGTTATGGAGATATAATAGACATACCATCGGCAAACCTATGACTACATGTGTGCTTGTACAAGTTAAGTGTGTGTACCATCCAGACCAGTTGGGTCTCTTTAACCGTCTGCCAAATAGAACGGTGCGAGTTTGTTTCTGCTTCTCGCTAAGCAAATACACAGTCTGTCAAGTGTATGCCTCTATAATCGTGTGGCCATTGTTTTCAGATAAATTTTGATACAAATTACAATTAAAGAACGATACCTACACTATTCTTGTATCTGCAGGTAGCCTTATGTATGACTGTACCATTAAAGTGATAACATTGGCAATAGGGTCTGCCGAAAACTGCCAAGAAATAAAATAATATCTAATAAATATATACATATAAAAAAACTTACCAAATTAACGTTAATCCACAATAATCAGGAGCATCTGGCGTAGAGATCGATGCACGGAGTTACAGCACTGCAAAAGAAAAGATATTTATGTATTTTTGAGGCCTAATTATTACTGCCTACAAATTCGTTAAAAAGTATAACCCAAAGCTGATATAGTTATTCAAAAAAAAAGCTTTTGTTGCTCATTATGTGCTGAATAGTATCTACTTTAGGCCTTTAGCCAAGTGAGTGCTGTATTTTTCAACCGTAACCTAACCTAACCTGATCTAACATTACAGGACACTAATGAGTGAGGTTAAGAACATGAGTTTTTTTATCGTTTGTATTGCTGTAAACAAAACAAAAAGCTTCGTGACTCTTAATCTAAGACTAATCTAACTTTACAAAGTTCGTGAATTTCATTTGTTTACAGCAATGTGAACCACAAAACAATTCTTACTTTTGGTTGATTTGGTTAACTACGAGTTGGGTTGTTTCACTTACTTTTTTTTAACCTTTAAATTACGCAAGTGTTGAGTGTTACACAAAAAAATACACGACAACGGCAACACTCACTTTGTGAGTGTTGTATTTCTCTATCGTGACCTAATTTAACTTGACCTAACCTTACAGGACAATGCGATAGCGTAGGATCATTTTTTTTATGGTTTACATTATTGTAAACAAAAAAAAACAGCAACAACAACATTCAATTCGTGAGTGTTGTCGTTATTGTGTATTTCGTTTATTTATAGCAGTGAACCACAAAAAAATCGGTCGATTTGGTTAAATATGGGTTGGGTTAGGTTGGATTATTTGAAAAAACTAAGTAATCTGGAAAACTATGCGAAGTAATGATTTCTGTTCCCAAAATTTGGGTAATTACTCAGAATTGGGGCTCCAGGCTCTAAAAAATTTTTCATGGATTTCTGGTCATTCTACATAATAGAATTAGGTATTAGAAGGTGGGTGAGACAGTTTTTTGACTTCATAAATAAAAACAATTGTTTTGAATGATAATTTTTCAAAATTGAAATTGTAGGTATTGGAAGAGATGGGTGAGATCAGGGGCGAAAGGGAGGGTATTAAAAATNTATCTCACGATTGTCACTGCAAAAAAATCTTTTATTAATATTAGAAGAGAGAAAGAGACGAAAGAAAGAGAAATGACCGGAAATCGATGAAAAAAATTTGGAGCGATTTTGGTCTGGAACCCCAATTCTGGACAATTACCCAATAATCAACCAAGCAGCCGACGCTGTGGTCATTTAACTGAAAACACGTTTTGTTTATCTGATTGCATAACCTACATTTAGCTATTCCAAATGGTCAATCAGTCTGCGAGCCCATAACACGTGCATTTTTATTATTTATACATATGAATCGTTTGTTTACAAAACACATATTTAGACAAATCACATTATTTAAGACATTCGTCACTTTCACATTTTTTAATTCCTTTTTTTTGGGTACATAGCATCAGGAAGATAACACATCGCATAACAAAGACCTAATCGAAGTCCTTCTGCGATCATCGTTTTCAAATTCCCGAACTAGACTGCTTGTAGCCACTCCAACGTCGGTCCTTTTAGTACAAAACTTCTATTGTTTTCTCTGGCAACTTTTCGCCAACACGATGTAAGCCAAGGTACACACTTTACACACACACACACATGCACATGGAACACCATTGTGAAAATTATAGGTTCACTTCACATGACATGCGGTGAAAACAAAAGACGCGCTACTACATCGGGGATTCCCTTTCCCCGGTTCCCGCCAACATGCCTATCTACTAAAATAGGTATAACGTAAAGTCTGCCGACGAAATAAGTTGAGAGGAGACTGCGAGAGGGGTTGAATTTTGTGTGTGTGGGAAGGTAGGTAGGTAGGTTAGGTAGAAAGGAGAACGCAGGGAAGTATAATGTAAAACGTGGGGTTGCAGAGAGTGGAGTGTTGTTTTTGCAGCAAACTGGGAGATAAGGGTGAGTTTTAAACACCCGCGGGGCCTGTGAAATGTTACACTTGTGTGCTGCGCCCAAATCGATCAAGAAAATTTTAGAAAACTACCTATTAAGCTCTTCAGGTTTGAACATATTTTATTTGTCAAAAAATATTTATATTGTTCAAAAATTTTTATCGTAACGTTTATAAAACTGAAATGAAAAATAACTTTTCATCGTTAGTAAACTATTATCATANCATAACGTTTATAAAACTGAAATAAAAAATAACTTTTCATCGTTAGTAAACTATTATCATATAATTTATTATGTGTAAGCGATTGTCAAAAGGCCCATAAAGAAATCGATTACCTAATCAACGGAAGTAAAAGAGATAAAGTTTCACCCACGGTTGTCACTTTCGACATTTTTACCTTTCATCATCCGTCAGCAACCGATAATAAAGATAATTGCTTTTATTTCAAAGGGAACGCGTCGGTTCGTTCGCTGCAGCGACGGCGGCGACAAACGAGAAAGAAAGAAAAGGGGTGGGAATAGGCACGAGGGGTGACAAAAACCGCGGACACAAACAATACGCGACCGCAATGGTAGAGTGCGGTGATCATGAATCGATTAGCGTTGGGCGTAAGATGTCTGTCATCATTGGTCGTTTCTCCATGGGCGTGTATAAGTTAACGATCGGGCGCAAGATCACAATCGACTGCGGGCGTGACGGAGCGATGGAGCGCCGGGACGCTTAGACGCAGGGTGGGCGTGGCGTAACGCCAAAAAGCGCCGGGACCTCTCGTAGGAACGACCGTGGGGTCTCTAGCGTCTGTTTTCATTAGTAACATTGTGCCGCGGCGAGAAGCAACAACATTCTCTGTTTTCACTTAATCTCTGTGTAAACTGCCCCATGTTGTGTATCATAATATTAAGTGAACGCAAACTTGTTTTCAGAGACTGATTGGATCGAAAACAGCGAAAACATCAACACAGACTTCGCCGCCGCCCGCTGCCGCCACTTTCCGAAAAATCTACCGACTCACTCTACTCCCCGCCGGCAGCCAATTGTTTGTTGTTTTAGTCGCGGGCCGACGCGTTTGTTTTTCTATCGTTGTCTTGATTATTTGTACGCGCGTGTTTCCCTTTTTCCCACCTGCGATTATGCACACCATTTTTGGGGACCACCACCAAACGGCGTACTACAGACACGCGGCCGCAACCGGGGGATACGCAACTACAGCCGCAACCCCGTACCCTTACGAGCAGTATTCGCGATACAGTTACGCGACATGGCCTCATCAACAGCACCAGCTCACATCCCCCAAGGATATGGTCAAACCGCCGTACTCGTACATCGCGCTCATCGCCATGGCCATCCAGAACGCTCCCGAAAAGAAGATCACCCTCAACGGGATCTACCAGTTCATCATGGAGCGGTTTCCCTACTACAGGGAAAACAAGCAAGGCTGGCAGAACTCGATACGCCACAACCTAAGTCTAAACGAGTGTTTCGTCAAAGTTCCAAGAGATGACAAGAAACCCGGGAAAGGAAGTTACTGGACTTTGGATCCGGACTCTTACAACATGTTCGACAACGGTTCCTACCTGCGGAGAAGACGGAGGTTTAAGAAGAAAGACGCCCTTAGGGAAAAGGAGGAAGCTTTGAAACGCCAACAAATTCAGGGGACCGACACACTCAGTAAACGGGACGAGAAACCCTTGGAGATAACAAAATCCGCTTCGTCGGGTAAACTGGAATGTAGCAAACAGCCGAAACGTGAACCAAACACGGACATAAGTTCGTGCATGAGCAAGTCTGTGATAGTTCACCAGGACCATTTAATAAGCGACGTGACGGCTTCGTTGCAGACCATGGACACCACAGCTGCCTTTACTGTGGACAGTTTGATGACCAACGGTAGGGATCAAGTTCACGCTTACACCAGCCCCAGGTTACACGCTTCGGGGGGTATGTACACTTATTGTCCAGGGGCGAATTCGCAACAGTATGGCGTAACGGACGATAGCACGCCGCGTTACAGTCCGTGGTACAGTCCGGAAACGTCACCGGAATCCGTAAATTCGTCTTCGGCCGGATACAGGGACATTATTTTCGAAAGTGCACCGCCTAGTTGTCAATTGGCCAGTTTTAGACATTCGGGAATGTCTTCGTCTAGTCCGCCCAATTTCAGGACGTCCGCTTCGTATTATCAGCAGGACTGCGTGCAAAAATACTGAGGACTGTTTTGTTACGAACAACAAGCTCCACATTATGTCAAGACTGATCCGGACTAAACGAATTTTACTCAATGTACTTTTATCGTGTATATTTTAATGGTTTGTTTGTGCAAGTTATCTATTACGTCGGCAGCTGCAATTTGTATCTACACTAGGCACCCACTAACTAGGTTTTCATGTGATAGTGATCAAATAGTTATTATGTTGTTTGTTTGTATCTGTAGAATTCGATTTCAAATAGCACAACTTCCGATGAAAGAATGAAGAGGTTTTGTCCTTCCTTGACGGTTAATTTTCTTGATTACCTATTTCGAAACATGTGTTCTAGATACATAAATAATTACTTATATGAAGAAATACTGGGGGTAGAATTCTGCTAGTCATATTTTTCATTCAAAAAATCAAATTGTTAAATTCAATGGATGTTTTCTTCGCAGAAAATCTATCATACGGTATTACATAGGTACATATTCCGTTTTTTGAATAAATTCATACAATTCCTTAAAATTGCGAGATTTTTAAAAATTATGCAACCAATTCAAATGGTATCATACATATTTACTTTTACCCTTTTTTTTGACAAATATCTAAATGAGCATGTGTCCTTTGCTTTACTTCTATGAAAATGGTGTTCCACAAGGACATACCTATTGTAGATCAATCACAATGATTTTTTTATTTTTATTTCTTTGTTTTTTGTAAATTACGTATGTATATATGTAGGTACTTATTGTCGAAAAACACCTCCAGAAAAGGATTATTTACCCAGTGGTTTATGTTCCTAGATTATTAAATTCATTCCTATAAGTATAGGATGTAATAACAATTATTACAATTTCTGAGTAATAATGCGCACGTAGAAGAGTCACTACTCCTTTACTTAAACCATAATGTTTACTAAACTGTTCGTTCACCCACTATAGGTAGGTACTGACTACTTAATTTGCATCCCCTTCTTAATCCGCTTATAAGAGGAAAAAAGCACTTTAGTCAGTATAAAAATGAAATACTAATTGTCGATGTATGTAACAAATGTTTATCCACGTATTAAATTAAATATTTGTGCGTGTCCATGTGAGTGTAAATTTTGAATAAGTATAAATAGATAGGTAAATGGATCAAGTCCAGTTGTACATTATTTATTATGAAAAAGTCACGTGAAATATAGGAAAAATAATAAAAGAGATAAATCTGTTAAACTGTGTAGTTCTTTGTAGGTACTACCTATAGAGGTAACAGGTACTTGATTAGAAATTTCAGATTTCAGACAGATATTTGTACCTGTATGTCGCTAAGAAGAACCAGAACATAACAAATAATTTATAGACATATTTCAAATAACATTTGTATTATCAGATACAAAAAAAACTTACAAAAAATATACTTTACATCCTAATACATATTTACTTGACATGGGTGTTTCGCGAAGGACTCGGTGAGACATTTTTATAGAAAGAAAAGAAGCCTGGCAAAATTTTACTAACGTTTTGTTCAAAAAATATCTTCGAAAATATTAACATCATTTCTAAACAGTGTAAGTGCTTACCGACTATGCATTTGTATATGTAAGGATACTCACAGTATGGCGTTAAGGATGTTTGGGAGGTATGTCAAAATGCTACGAGACAAATAAAAATTTGGATGAACGTTCCTCATTCAATTCTAAAACTGCTGTAAAAATTACAAATCGATTCACTAAACCGTTAAAAAGTTATTGAAATTTTAAAAAATTGTAATTTTACACGTCATTTTATGGAGATTCGTTAACCGAACAGATTAAATTTATTTTTATTAACAGAAAAAAAGCTACCAGAAATTTCAAACTTTTATAATAAGTAACTTGAACTCTGGAGAATCACTTTAGCGTAAGGTTATTCAAATTCACTAAATGGTTATCGAGGAAAAAATGAAAAATTAGCTGAAAATCTCGTTTTTACTTGATAATATAATGATAATATTTATAATTGTCTGAAATAAATGCAATTTTAAAGTTTTAATTATTATTTAAACATATTAAAAAGTTTTACGCTCATTATTAATAAAGATTGAAACTAAATATTTTTTTGTTTCGAAGTTGAAATCAAGGCATATTCACTGCCAAAAGTCAGTTAAAAATTTTCCATATTATTCGTTATTTCTTATTTTATGGTCAAATTCCAAATTTTCTCTCAAACCGTATACTTTTTTTTAAGTATAGATAGTATTTATTTACCTCATGATATGCTGCAAAACCTAAGTAATCACGAATTTCGGATTTTATGTACTCTTGTCTCCGATTGTACCTCCCAAACATCCTTAATAAAGAGCTGTTAAAAATTAGTAGGTGCAGTGAAATAATATAAATATAGGGCTGCCATGCGTCCGGGATTCCTCGGATTTGTCCTAGTTTGAAGGGCATTCGGGGGCTGTCCGGCAGGGGTTTTTACCCGGACACTTTTGTTGTCAGGAGAAATCAGGGAAATTTTAATTTCAAGCTGTATAAATGAATAAAAATTAAAAAATTATAACGATGTTTTTATTTTTGTTGCAAAAAATTTTTTTTCAGAGGTGTCGCCCAAATGTCCGGGCTTTTTGCCGTGTTTACCCGGCGTCGGCAATTTAGGTGATGGCAGCTCTATATAAATATCCTACTGCTTACATATAGAAACTGAATTCAATATTTTGCTTAAACACTACTAGCGACTTGAGAACCAAACTTAATAGAAGTTCTGAGTCTTCGAATTTCGGCCAGTAAGTCAGATCATGATGCGGTTATCTTCACAAAGTTTATAGGAGATCTCACGAAATGAATGCAGAAAACCATATTTCGATCCGACTTACTGTACAAACTTCGAAAGTTTGGTCTCTTTTTGTGCTTTATTTCATAGACGAACCATATTCTAATGCATGTAAACATTAACACCTTTTGAAAAATACGACATGGTGTAGAGAAATTCGTACAAATATCTTCAGCCATCTTTTCATATAAATAATAAAGTCCAATACATGCCATTTAAAGTTTTTGAGGGGTCTTGCGCTTTGTTCAAAAGATTTTGAAAGTTCGATTAGTTTAGGATAGTTTTTAGAGAAACTGGTAATATTTTCAGATAGATGTGGTTGAAAAAATATATTCCACACATTACCAAATTATGCTGGTTGGACATGCACCTCCATTTCCTATCCTGAGCTAATCTTCACATTCTAAAGTTAGAACATCCCACATCCTTAGCTACTACTACTACTACTACTGCTTCACGATAATCTAATCTAGGTCTACCTATATTCTTCTTAACCTGTTTCTGCTTCTAATATGTCTTTAACTTCATGCTTCATGTTTGACAACCTAATCTCACCTATTTCTTAAAAGTGAATTGTGTTTTCCTATTCTTTCTAATACCTTCTTTTTCCTAACCTACTCCTCTTAGCTCCTGTTTCTCCTTCTAAAATGTCTCTAACTAGCCATTCATACTCAGTGCTGGTTTTAGCACTACCAGCACCCTGGGTGAGATTTCTACGGTGCCCCCTATTTGCCATTGAAACCCATACGAGTTAGTTATATAATGAAATAACCATTTATTAAAAAAACTAACAAAATTTTACTTTTCTAGCCTTTCTATCGGCAAACTCTTTTGTTAAGACATCAAAGCCTATGATTTTCGCATTTTCGATTGACAAAGTTGCTAACTTTATCAATCTAAATTAAGATATTGCCGATGGCAGATAGGTTTTAATCAACTTAAGCTTAGAAAAACTCCTTCTCCCATTAGTCACAGTCAAGGTACAGATCAATATTCGCAATGGTATCCATACATTTGGATATAGATCTTCAAGTTGCGATCTTTGATAAAATCTAAAATAAAGACAGGGGTATCCTAATTCTGATCAGGCAAAAAAGATTTTACACTTATGATTTCATAGCAGAACATACAACCATCTACCTATATCTGATTTAGAGCCTACAGTTAATTCCAGTTGGAGATCACTACAGGGTTTGAGGTCTGGTTTTTCCGGAATGTTTTTTATATTGTACAAAAAAGGCCAAGATTCCGAGTATTCATTTAACTGTTTAAATCTTTCATTGAGTGAGTTTATGGTAGTGTCCAAAAGATAGTTGAAAAATATAACTTCAAATTTCATTTTTGGAGAAGTTATAGGCTCATCGGGAGGAGTTTCATCAGCTTGGCGTTTAATAACACGTCCAATTCTTGTTGTTGCTCTAAACACTCTTTGTAATTCTTCAGCTAACTCCTACGGTCGGTCTATGATGGGGAATTCCCAGTAAAATGGAAAAATTCCGACCGAAGACTGCATTCTATACTAGTGTTGCCATCGTAACGATTTTGTAACTAGATTTAGGGAAAAATGGAAGCGGTATTGACAAAATAGTATTGTATGAAAATAAATAA